GGTATTAAAACTCCTACTTCATCCCCACCCGTCCGCCCGTTACATTTCTTGTCCCGGCCTCGCTCATGCAGCCTCCTTACTCTTCTACCGCCCCTCAGCTATCTTTTCTGCCGCCTTTGTTCAGTCTCCCATCCTCTCCATCTCTAAGCAAGCTATATTATGCAGTTTTCTTCAGTCCGTACTGCTCGCCTAAAACGGTACTCGCGCGCATGCGCAATATCTCCCGAAAACAATAATATTTTACGAATATTATGCACTTAAAATGAAGAGGAGATATTCTAACATAGACTTGTATGATAACATTCCATCAGTAGAATTCACTTAAGAAATAGGAAGAAGTCCTTGCATGTAATGTGCCTTCTGCATATAGCAGTCAGTACACAATCTGGCTACGTAATGTGTTAGCGCATGTGCAATATCTCACCAGAGGAGTTATATTTTGTGATGAATATGCATTTAATATGGTTAGACGGTATCTCAGCATAGATATCTGTAACAAATTCTTATGAGCAGGCTTGCGTTTATAATTAGCTAGGCGAGCGCCCTATGCCTGTAGGGTGAAAAACCAGTCGGTACACAATTAATCTGGCTACGATAGTGTATTAATTAGCGCATGTGCAATATCTCACCAGAGGAGTTAAATTTTGTAATGAATATGCATTTAATATGGTTAGGGTGTATCTCAGCATAGATTTCTATAATAGATTCTTATCAGTAGACCTGTGTTTATAATTATGAGAGCGCCCTAGCCTGTTTAGGTATTAAAACTCCTACTTCATCCCCATGCACCCGTCCGCCCGTTACATTTCTTGTACCTCGCTCATGCAGCCTCCTTCCTCTTCTACCGCCCCTCAGCTATCTTTCCTGCAGCCTTTCTTCAGTCTCCCACCCCTCCCCATCTCTAAGCAATTAAGCTATATCATGCAGTTTTCTTCAGTCCGTACTGCTCGACTGAAACGGTACTCGCGCATGCGCAATATCTCCCCAAAAGAATAATATTTTGCGAATATAATGCACTTAAAATGGGGAGGAGATATTCTAACATATACTTGTATAATAACATTCCATCAGTAGAATTCACTTAAGAAATAAGAAGAAGACCTTGCATGTAATTCGCCCTCTGCATATACCAGTCAGTACACAATCTGGCTACGTAATGTGTTAGCGCATGTGCAATATCTCACCAGAGGAGTTATACTTTGTAAAGAATATATATTTAATATGGTTATGGGTTATCTCAGCATAGATTTCGGGAATAAATTCTTATCAGTAGACCTGTGTTTATAATTAGGAGAGCGCCCTAGCCTGTTTAGGTATTAAAACTCCTACTTCATCCCCACCCGTCCGCCCGTTACATTTCTTGTCCCTCGCTCATGCAGCCTCCTTCCTCTTCTACCGCCCCTCAGCTATCTTTCCTGCCGCCTTTCTTCAGTCTCCCACCCCTCTCCATCTCTAAGCAAGCTATATCATGCAGTTTTCTTCAGTCCGTCCTGCTCGACTAAAACGGTACTCGCGCATGCGCAATATCTCCCGAAAAGAATAATATTTTACGAATATTATGCACTTAAAATGGGGAGGAGATATTCTAACATATTCTTGTATAATAACATTCCATCAGTAGAATTCACTTAAGAAAT